GCAGGGGAGAGGGGCTTGGCTCTCCAGAGACGGTGATTGGGGTACTGGGGACAGGGCTGCACAGGGCACCTTGCAGATCAGCTACGCAGATCAGCTTTTCTGTGTGGTGTTTGTGTGGTGGTGCTGGTGGTGGTGAGGGGGATGGCGGGAGAAGAGCTGGCATATGAGGATAGTTTTCTACATTTTACTTTCCCTCCGCTCAGGTTCCTGGGAGAAGCCAAGGTCCCACTCCGAGAGGTCCTCGCCACCCCCAGTCTGTCTGCCAGCTTCAATGCGCTCCTGCTGGACACCAAGAAGCAGCCTACAGGGGTAAGCGCTCATCAGGCCTCTGCATCAGGGCAGTTTCTGGTGCAAGGCCTTGCCTTTCTGACCCCAGAGCTGTGTCCTACTCCAGCTCTAACCTACCAGGCCTGGCCCTCCCTGGCCAGAGCTCAGGGGGCCTGGGATGGGGCTCTGGGTGGAAGAGATGGGAGGGGGACAGGAGGGAACCCCGCCCCACCTGCAGGGCTCAGATGAGCCTTGCCTCAGACCAGCTTGGCCTAATCCTGGGTCCCTTCCTGGGGTAGGTTTTACTAGAAACCCATGTCTTCCTAAGCTTCCCGCAGCCTTGGTTATGGCTCCCCCAATCTCCCCGTCAGCCCTCCCTCACCATACAACTAACTCCCTTTACCAATTCCAGAATATCTGAGTCATCTGGGTCACAGATCACAAGGGAGACAGACATCCCTCTGCCCTGCCTCTGAGACCTGCCACCCACTTCCTTTCCTCCATTGTTTTTCTCGCCCCTCCCCAGCCTTCCCAGTGCTCTCCCAGTCCTCCCAGACAATTCCCTGCCCTCATCTCTGGCCTCCTGTTATTTTTAGTGAGCTAAATATATCCTGTAGGGTTCTTTCTTCCTGGTGAGTGGAATTCCTGACCTCCCTCTGGCTCAACCTCCCAGGATGCACTGGAGGAACTTGTGATTTGGAACTACTTCCTCCCAGGGTGCACGATGGGATTCTGGGCTGAGTTCTTTCAGACAGAGTGGGGCTGTCTTGTCTCGTGGAGTGTGTGTGTGTGGAGGGGTGGGAAGTTGGCGGGGGATTGGGGGCCCTTGGCTGGCTTGGTGAGTTAGGAAGTGGCCAGTCTGAGCAGAGTTCTGAATAGAACCACTACTGGGTACTGAGACCTAAAGAGTGTGACTGACTGAAGTCACACAGTGAATTGATGTCCAATGTGGGACACGAATCAGAGGGTGCATCTCTTAAACTTGAATGGAGTGGTTCACTGCCTTCCTGATGCTGGCACTTTCTCCTGAGGCAACTTAAGACAGTGAAGGTGGCTGGGATGCTTCCTTGGTGGGCGGATGTCACTTCCTAGGAGAACTCATGTCCTTCCCAGACAGTGCTCCCTGGTAGAACATTCCGGTTCAGGCTGCATTCACGAGCCTGTCTCCATCACCTCCGGAACCCCTTTTTGTCTTCTCTTTGAACTCTCCACTCTCCTAATAATGCTCCTAATTGTTTATAGTTCCAGTTTCCAAGGTAGGTGTCTGGGTTTTTCCCTCCACGCCACTGAGCGATTCTCTGATACCAGCTGGGTGTCCTACGATTCAACTCAACTCTGACATTATTTACCTGGAGACAGCATCAGATCCCACAGGTTAAGGGCTCAGCCCCACAAGACTGCCCCTCCTTCAGATGCCAATTACAAGTCCAGGCTGTCACCTGTACTTCTGACCAACTGGCTATAGATTGGAGGTTCCTTGGGTTCAATTTGCTAGAAGGGCTCACAGGACCCAGAGAAACATTTAATTTACTGGATTTCTGGTTTATTATAAAAAGATATAACCCAGGAACAGCCAGATGGAAGAGAGACAAGGAGCGAGGTATGGGGCCAGGGACATGAGCTTCCACGCCCCCTCCAGGTGTGCCACTCTCCCCGATCTCCACATGTGTGCACCGGCCTGGAAGTGCTCCAAGCCCTGTTCTTTTAGGTTTTTATAGAGGCTTCATTACATGGTCAAGATTGCTTAAATCATTTGTCATTGGTGATTGAACTCAATCTCCAGCCCCTCTTTTCTCCCTGGAGGCTGGGGTTGAGGTGTAGAGGGTAGGGCCGAAAATTTCAACCCTCTAATCCACTGGTTGGCTCCACTGGCAACCCCATCCACATTAACATAATAAAAGAAACTTTACCGCTCTTATCACTCAGGAAGTTCCAAGGGACTCTGTAGCTCAGTGCCAGAAATAGGGAATGAGACCAAATATATATTTCGCATTTAAATTACAGTATCACATTTCTATAGTCAAGAAGGACTCCAGCGAATTCTGGAACTGTCCTTTCAGAGGGCTGTAGCTAACTCTAAAGGTGTAGAGCACTAATGGAGAAATCTACGCATCAAGGCAGCTGGTGAGAGATATTTTGAGTCAGAGGATCTGGGTGGTGCTTCCCCATTGCATCTCGGAGATGGGGCTCCTTCTTTGCTGTGTATCCGGCTCACCATGCCTCCAACCAGGGTTGCTTGCTTCCTGGCTGAGCTGCTCAAATGTCTCTCCACTCTAGCCCTGGATGCATCTGGGACACTGGTGGTTTCTGCAAGTTCTGTGCTTGCTCTGCTCCAACCTCAAAGGGAATCCAGCTTTTCACACCTAGTCCTTGTTGATGGGACTGAGCCAGTCTGGTGACATACCCTGGAAGCCTCACCTCTCCTCCTCTCGCTCTCGGTTCCCAGGGTTTGTCTGTACTTCTGCTCACCAGCCGGAAACCTGCTGCTTTCTCTTCCCTGGGTTGGGTCTCCTGGCTGTCTGCAGAGCTTGCAAATGCTTCACAAACCACATCTCCAAAAAGGGAGTGTGAAAGCCAGAAAATGATGGATGGGGGAGGAGGGCTGGGCCCCACTTGGTTTAGCCCCCAGTTGAGCACAGATGGGGCTTCCTTCCCTGCTGCCCAGGAGGCAGCTGTAGCCTGTGGAGAGAGTCTGGGTCCATCTTTAATCCCTGTGATAGCACTAAATCACAGTGCAGCCCTAGGCAGGTTCCAAGGCCCTCTGAGCTGGGGCTTCTCACGTGGGACCGGGGGCTGGCTGTGCTGCAGTGGGAGGCACGGAGAACTGGGGATGTGACAGAAGGGATAGAGAGCCTTGTCAGCAGCTACAGATTCTCACTGGCCTTTTTACTAAGGCTGATTTCTGGGTTGAACCCATTGGGCAGAGCATAGCAGGTATCCCTAATTGGTGAGAGCTCAGATTGCCTCAGAGAGCCAAAAGAACCTGCCGATGGAGTGTTGGGAGGTGGACATAGGGCCAGTGGGATCCTTAGAAAACCCTGCAAGGACCGAGAGGAGGAGGAGGGGCCTGTAGCAGGCTAGGTGTGGACTCCATTTGCCTGTTACTCAGTGTTCTCACCCAAGTCCCTTCAGATATGGCACGCCGGCCTGCGTGCCACGAGAAGATGCCAAATCCACCTTCAGTCAGCTTCCAGACTGAAGGGGAAAACACTGCCCCTGTCCTGGGGGAGCCTCCAGCCCATGGGGACAGGAGCAGGGGCAGGAGCGAGGCTCTGGTAAAGCCTCAGTTTCCTTCAAGAGGTTTGGAGATGCTGCCAGCACCTCTGCCCCCCATACCACCTCGTCTCAGGCCTGCATTGTACCCTCCGCCAGCTTCTGGATGTTGTCTGAGGGAAAGGTATCTAAAACCCAGGTGCATATGGGGCTTTCCTCTTTGCTCGGGAAATGTGTATCAGGAGAGGTCTCTGTTGGATCCTGTTGAGCTCAGTGTTAGAGAATTGTAGCCTAGGAAGTAGGCGAGCAATGAGGCTGAGCATGGCAGAGTGGGCGAAGGACCCCATAGCCTGACTGCATAACCTGTAGGAGGATCTGATGAGTTGTGCCCTGTCTTTGCCTTTGATTTCTTAGGCCCCCCTGGCCTGGGGGCCAGACAGGACCCTCCAGAATTCTGTAATATTGCTGTGACCCAAAGATTGCAGACACAGGTGACTGAGGTTACATAATCCAGGCCAGCATGTTTTGGTGGACACATGACTGACTGATAATGGTCTTGTGGTAGGATGTCTGCATGGCAATGATGGGACTGGAGACCTGAGGAATAGGGCTGTCGTATGGGGTACTTTGATGTGGAGGGACTTAAAGTGGGTCCTACTGGGGGCTGTAGGCCAAGGTTATATGGTCTGGAAGAGCACAGAGCTCACATACATCCCACAGGAAGAAAGTGTAAGCTCTGGTTATGTCTGGAAAAGGGGAGAGGGGATGAAGCATGATGTGACGGTGAGGGTGAGATGTCTTGATGGTGAGTGGGGCCCTCAGACATGCCCCCTTTCCTTTAGATCTTTAGCAGAGCTAGAAGCCTCCAGTATTAACTACCCCTGGTCCTGAAGCGGCGGTCCCAGGAGTCTGTCCCCTAGTGGCGAGACCTGTTTTAGATCCTGGGTTCTAGATCCTTTGAAGCTGCTAGAGATGTTCCTGTGGCTCCTTGATGAGCGTATAAAAGGTGGAGCTGTCTCGGGCATGGAAGTCTCGTTCGAGTGCCTGGAGCCACCAGCATGTTGCCAGTTCTTCAGGAGGCTGGTGCAGAGTTATCAGTGTGGAGGAAACAGGATGCTCTGGAGGTCCCAGGGAGGGCTGCCTGGTGGTCTTGGGATTCTCGGGTCATTGCTCCTTTCTGCTCCTCCCAGAGGGCTGCTCCTGAGCCCTTGTGCTAAGCTGCTGACATCCAGGCCATGATGTGGAAGAGTTACACGGCCGAGGCTCCACCTCTGCCCAGAGGTGCTGTGCCAGAAGCCTGCAGGTGGCATGAGGGGGTGGGGGAGGGTGGGTAAGCAGGGCAAGCCCTGAGAAATAGGAAGAGGTGTTCTTCAAGGCAATCTGGTCTCAGGGTCAGGGGACCTCCGTTACCAAGTGTTGGAAGAACCTGGGCTGAAGGACAGCCAAGTTATGTCCCCTTTAAGTTTTAGCTCAACTCTCTTCACCTTACTGGGGTCCCTGAGACCGCTTGATTTCATACTGCTACCTGGATACCCTCCTGCTCCCCTCGTTCCTCTTGCTGCCATTTACCTTTTCTTTCTAACATACTGTATAACTTATGATTTATTTCTTTTATTATTTATTGTTTGTCTCCTCTGCCATGATGTCAGTTCCATGGGGGCTGAAGCTTTTGCTTTGTTTGTAAAAATAACCCAGTATTTTGATGTGCTTGGCTCTGTGCAGGCTCTGAGTACATATTTATGGTGGGAATGAATAAGCAAATGAATGAATAAATGGGTCGGGCCAGCTTTGTCAGTTGGGGCCCCACACCCTGGGGTCCTTCAGATGCAGGCCCAACTCAGGCTGAGCCAAGCAAACACTCCACACAGGCCAGTCTTTTTTTTTTGGGGCCCATGCCTGGTTTAGTTCTCTGCTGTCACCATCTTGAAATTCTTAATGAATTTTTAACAAGGGGCCTGACTTTTCATTTTGCAGTGGGCCCGAAAACTATGTGGCTGGTCTTGAGTAGGTGGGGGGCCTTATGTTTCTCTACTGAGTGAGATTCCTATGGTTAGAGCAGAAGCAGATTGCTCAGATTTTCTAAACCTTTTATTTTAAAATAATTTAAGATTCAGAGAAAAGATTTAAGAGTAGAATAAAGAATATTTTGTACTGAACGATTTGAGACTAGGTCACCAACCGTCTGGCTCACCTCCCTGAATTTAGTGTGTGTTTTCTCTATTTAAGGACTTTCTCATACAGAACTACAACATAACCTTCAACACAGAAAATGAACGCTGGGACAGCACTGCCATCTAACCCACGGACCCTCATTCAAGCTTCAACAGTTTTTTCAACAGTGTCCTTTAGAACAAAAGGATCCAATTAAAGATCACGTGTTGTGTTAGTTGTTCTGTCCCTTTAGTTGGCTTCCCTCTGGGAGAATTTTATAACCTTGTGACTTTGACTTTTGGAAATACAGGATCATTATGGTGGAGACCGGACCTCAGTTTGGGACTGTCTGATGTTTCCCAGTAATTAGGTTTAGGTTGCACATCTTTGGCAAGAATATTACACAGTGGTGCTACCTTGTTCTCATTGTAGCCTGCGGTGATTCGATTGTGATTTGTTTCATTACTGAATTATTAAGCTTGATCATTTAGTTAATGTAGAATTTTTGGGTTTCTCCACTAATCTAAAATTCATTCCCTTTTCTAATAAGTAAGAATTTGAGGGGGAGGCACTTTGTATGAAGGCCCTGTATGTCATTCAACTTTTACCCAGCAGTTTTAACATCTATTGTTGCATTTTTTTTTGGAGATTTATTGAGCTTTATTGAGATATAATCACATACTGTAAAATTTATCTTTTAAAGTGTACAAATCAATGTTTTTAGTATATTCACAGAATTATACAACCATCACCACTATCTAATTTTAGAACATTTTCAGCACTCCAAAAAAAGTCTATTAAAATTCTTCGTTCATTTCCTAATTGTGCCATTATTGCTTCTTGGTTGGATTAATTGTTTTGATGATTGCTTAAATGGTGATATTCTAAATCAGTTATTTTATTCTGCTTTAATCAGTTGGCATTTGACTGTAAAGAAAAGCTTCCTTCTGATTTATTTATTTGTTTATTTCCATATGGATTCATATATTCCTCTTTTATTTAATGGTTTAATCTGTTGCAGCCATTATTTATTTTCATGTTTAAATTTTCCCAGTTTGGCCAGTGGCAGCCCCTGAAAGCAGGCTTCCATGACCTTTGACGTGTTTCTATCATTCTTTTTGTATTTTCTTGCTTTCTGCCATAAAAAAAATTTTCCAGGGTTATCTTCTATCTACCTTGGCCTAATCTTGTAATTAGTTCTCTGAAGAGCCCGAATTGCCTTTTGATGAACTGGAGAAAAATACAGATGCCCAGGTGCATCTCAGGCCTGCATCAGAGTCTCCAGGAGTCAGGCGTGGCCGCGGGCTGGTCTGGGCATCTGGGGCGGGGCAGTTCTTTTTCTTTTTTGGGGGTTGCAGGAGCTTGGGTTCCAAGGGCAGGGAGTACTGGCTGCGCAAGTGGCGACACCTGGTGGTAATTTAGGGACCTGCAGCGGCGGTTAGGGCAAAGCCTAGGATCTGGAACTTGGAAGTGTCTCATTGCCTTCCCTGGCCTCCTGGCCTCTTCCGGGGTCTCCTGTGATGTGGAGGTGGCTTCGAGATTCTTCATCAGTGTTCTGAGCCCAACACTCTCACCAGTCTCGCCCTCCCTTAGCTTGGATGACCCTGCCCAGGCCCCATTCTGGAGGGTTCAAGTCCCAGAGCTGGATACATCTAGTCCTTGAGCACTTTCTGTCTCGGGATAAGAATTCACTCCAGAAGTTTCTGGACATCCCTAATATCAGTCAGTAGAGACAGATGCCTAGTGAATTATACTAAAGCCACTCAGAGGTTATTATGCATCCTTAACAATTATATTTATAAAGGGTTTGGGAAAACCCAGGGAAGTGCTTATTGTCTAACGTTAAGTAAAAGAAAAGCATTTTATATATAGCAGAGCTGTATACTGTTGTTTAAAAAAGATTGGAGAGAATTATATCAAAATGTGAATAGTGGTGGAATTATGGCAATTCGTTTTTTTCTTTTTTGCCTTTGAAGTTTTTTTCTTTTTTTCTTTGAAGTTTTCGAACTTTTCGAACTTTCTTAACTAGAGCATCTATTATATAAAAAGGCTGCCCCAGTGGGCCTGCTGGATCTGGAGTTCCAGGAAATGCTTGGCCAGGCCCCCACTGGCCTAAGAGCTGCAAGGCTGGAGGGCCTGCTGTGGTTGTCCTTTTTTTGCAGGTTCAGGGGGCCCTTTGAACAGTGCAGGTCTCATGGTGGGGTTGGGTGGGGTGGGGGCACAAGGCAGCTTTCTCCTGTCCACGTGAGTGGTAAGGCCAGTCGCTCTCTTCTCGGCAGTCACAGCTGGAGCAGCTGGGGATTAGGCACGGATGAGGATGCTTCTGGGAGGAGAGAGAGCTCAGAAAGACAAGCAGCGCCCTGAGACCCTCTCAGAGTTTGGCCTGAGCAGAGCAAGGCTGAGGTGTCTGTGGAGACATAGGCGAGAGCCCTCAGCTGAGCAGCCAAGAGGCCAAAGGGGCTTTTTCCTGAAAATGGGACTAGGCTGAGAGTTGAAAAATCTGACAGGAGAGGCTGGATCGCTGATTCATTTATGGAAGCTTACGATGTGCTCTGTCAACTCCTTTAATCCTCATTAGGCCCTGTGAGGAAGGTACTATTGCTATCACTACTCCCGTTTTATAGATGAGGAAACCGAGGCACAGAGAAGTTATAGGTCTTATCCAAGATTACACAGCTCCTGAGTGGTGGAAACTGACTTCAGAGTCTGTGCTCTTTTTCACCTGACTATGCTGGTGGGCCCTTGGGTGGCTTTGTAACCAGAGCCACCTTTCATGGTGGATAGATGGACGGATGCTGGAGGGCGGTGGTCCAAGGCCAATGCATTAACCTGCTGCCCTCTCATTCCCCATCTCTTCTAGGCCTCGCTGGTCCTGCAGGTGTCCTACACGCCGCTCCCTGGAGCTGTGCCCTTATTCCCACCCACTACTCCTCTGGAACCCTCCCCGACTCTGCCTGACCTGGATATGGTAACTGGTGAGGAGCCCATCTCACCCTGGCAGGGCCCAGGGGAAGAAGCCCAGCAGAGGCTCCCGAACCTGGGGGTGGGGGCCACAGCGAGGCTTCAGCAGCCTCTGCTGCCTCTCCAAGGTTGGGGGAGAAGAGAGGCCACCAGTGGGTGGGCGTCCTGATGTCTGCCTTCCACCACGCGGGAAAAAGGACAGGAGCTGTGCTCCCCTAGGTGCTCCTAGGGTCAATATGAGGATGCCCTCCCAGCTCTCGCTGTCCAGGAGGAGGGCTGTGCCTGGGCTAGGTGCTCTGAAGCTCCGGAGGAGTGGGTGCTTTAGATGGGTCTGGGATGGGGTCTGTCCAGGGGATACCTGAGGTCTCACCCACTGTCCGGAGACTAAAGCTTCCCTGCCCTGGTACCCAGTAGGCCTTTGGTGAAGAAAAGTGACAAAAGAGTTGGATTTTCTTTGAAAGATCTCTACGTTGAAGTCAGGGAACATGAGTTCCAGGCTTGCCTTTGACACCAAGTAGCTGTGTGACTTTGGGCTGACTACTCTCCCTCTCTGGGCCTGCAGTTTATCATTTGTAAAAAGAGCAGACAGTCAGCTAAGTCCCAAGGTTGCTTCAGGCCCCTTCACTTGCCTTTGCTGGGCTTGTCAAGTGAGGACCATGTCCAGAGCGGTTGGCTTACCAGTGCGGGGCTGGGCGTGGAAACCTGATGGGGTATGCAGGAAGCTACAACAGATGGGCCAGGCAAAGACTCGCCATGGGAAA